AAGTGGCATTGGCTTCAACAAGAGCAAGATCAAGGGCAAAAGATGGGGCAAGAGAAGATATGAAAGAGAGATGAAGAAGCAAGAACAAGAGAAGCTCTCTCATTTCATGTGCTTCAAGTGCCATGAAGTGGGACATCTTGCAAATGGTTGCCCCAATGAAGAAAAGCTCAAGTTGAAGAAAGAAGAAGAGAGGCTAAGGCATGTTAAGTGCTTCAAGTGCCGCACTTGGGGTCATCTTACCTCAATGTGCCCAACCAAGCAATTGGTGAAGCAACAAGTGAAGCCTCAACCAAAGCCACAAGTTGAGCAAGAGAAGACACCCCAAGAGCAAGTCAAGATCAACCATGAAGATGGTGGTGATTTGATGATAAAGAAGAAGAAAACAAGAAAGGGTGGAAAGGCAAGGCATCCAATGTAAAGTCAAGATGGTAACATCTCACATCATTGTTCAAATACTTGTTAGTCTATGACCACATCCCACAAAAGCATCATAGATTAGATATATAGAAGCGCCTTGCCCAGGGCCTACTCCTCGTCCATGACGGGATAGAAGCAGTTCTTACAATATCCATGATAGACTATATTATGTGCAACAAGTGGGGAAATAAACCCTGAGTACAAGAAGGTACTTAGCTAGACTTACCCATCATAAACAAAAAATAATGTGACTCTAAGGATCATGCAAGGCTTTATAAGTGGAGCTAGCTTGACAATATTTTGCATAAAAAGCCACTAGTTCAACTATATATTTTATAATTCAGTATCAAGTTAATTATAGCTATTCACCACTAGATTAACAACTAACTTGTGCCAAACATGCGATATATCTTTATGTAGCATCACAATAATAACCATAGCCGGTGTAGCATTCCCATGTCCAATATAACCTGACTTCTACCGGTCTAAGCATGGCTAAGCATATGTTCGATCCTGGGCCTACATAGGGTACAAGGTATATTTCTAGACAAGGTAGTTCTATGCACCAAGTGGTTCCAATCAACTCTTATAACCTAATGCATCAAACATAAATGACTCAAGTGATATTTTGTAAAATAAAGGAGGCTTAAAATGCTCCGGGTTTACCTTTCATGAACGAAGTGGGTCGGTGGTCAGGGCACTCTGGAAGTTTGTCAGTGGCTGGCTTCTCTCCTTCGAGAGCTGTAGGTTGGGGTGTCCCTTGATTGTCCTCCGCCTCTTCTTCGAATTCCAGTAGGGTTACTCCTTCGGATGAGCCGATATGCATGATCTTTAAATAAGATATCAAGGATGCATAGAGAATGACATGGATGATATGATATGATAAAATGCATACTCATAAGTGTCCCTAATAGCAATGTATTAAAGTGACAACAAGATAAATTTTTCTTTTACTGAGTAGTTGCATAACTCCTCTCTAGTAATTAAACAAACACCTATTTAAACATTTTCTGGGCTGCAAGATAGCAGCCAATTGATTTTAACCATAACTAGAGTTATACACATCCAAACACTATGATGTTAGACTTTATATAAAGCTTATAAAATTGCCTACAACTTTGCTTTAATCATCTTAAGTTGAATCATTAGATATCTAGGTCAAATAATTCAATCTTTTAGATCTGTCCAGAGGACAAGCAAATCTGATTGCAGACTTATAACAGCTATAACTCTTAAACCATTAGGCCTATGACCATGAAATTTTTGAACAAGAAAGATGAGTAAGTGATATACAACTTTGTTGTTAACAAGTTTCACATAAGAGGTCGCTATCATCATGCATTTGTCAACACAACAGAAACTACTCATGCAGCCATTTAGTTGAATTATAAAGCAATAATTAATTAGCTGCCTATAACCAATTACTTCTAAGCCCAATTAATAACATCAACGGATCATGTGCATCACAAGTACCACCGAAAATATCATGGTTAAGCCCAAATAATTTACTTATATGCATTTATTAATTTCCTTATATAATAAGGTGATTTAAAGGATAAATAATTCTAGTGCTCAATAAATCCTGAGAAAATTACAGTAGCCTACATCTGACCCTAGTAGTCTACTATATAAATTTCATGTCATTTGGATAAGTATAGCAGCCTCTACAAAAATGACAAGTTGCATAGGCTTATTTTAGCAAAAATAGTTTAACCTAGTGAAAAGTGTCAAACAATAGATTTCATATTTTTCTTACTTTCATCCTAGCATAAGAACACTGTGTAAAAATTTGCATGATCATATATTATATATTTTTACCCCATTTATTTTTAATAGAAACTAGCAATTATTTAAGATTAAATAGGAAGACCATATTTCAAGTTTGTCTTCTATAGGTTTAGTATTTTTTCTAGCTGGGGCATGCCAACACAAGACCAAAAAAATTAGAATCATAATTTTTGCACTTCTCTAGCTCAAGTTATGTTTTTTACAAGATAGAAACTATTTTCAAAGCACTTTACTAGCTTAATTTAATTCTCCAAAAAAATATCCCATACAGTAGGTTACATATTTTTATCAAACACTAAACTTCATGATGAATCTAGAAAAATTTGGATCACCCCATTTGGACACTCCAGATATAAATTTTTGAAGTTTGCATTCAAAATTGTGAAAATAAATAAAGAAAATCAATTTCAAATCAAGCTTAGCTGCTAGGTGCACCCGGTCCAGTGCACCCACTGTGACTGACAACGGGGATCTGTAGGTCAACGGGTCCCACCCGTCAGCGACATAGGAGCAGAGGACGGTGCTAACTGGCCGGAGCTCGCTGATGGCGAGCTTGTAGATGGTAGTGTCTTCACCATTGTGACCTACTCGACATCCCACGTCGACTGGTGCCCTTGGTTGGCTCAGCGGTTCGTCGAAGCTATCTCACCGGTGAGCATGGCGGCTCGGCGGCGGCGCACGGTGGTGGACTCACCGTCTCCGGCGACAACATGGCCAAGTAACCATGGCTACAGATTCCATGGACTCTAGCGGAGCTCTCGGGTTAGGTCTAAGCCACGGCGGAGCGGCGGTGAGGTCCAGCCACGTGCGCGGAGCTAGGCGGCGCCCGGTGAGCAATAGCGGCACTTGCTGTTCCGACGAGGGGGCTATCGACAACCAGCCTCCATCATAGGCTATGGATCTAGAGCTCAAGGCGACTCAGTAACAGGCACCAGAGGGAACTAAGGGTGATCGGTTGGGGTTGGCCGTGGTGAGCTCATGCTCGTGGCCATGGCGGGCGTGCACAGTGCGAATGTGTGTTCTGTCACCGACGAGGCGGTAGCGGTTAAACGGACGGTGGCTCTAGCTTCTAGGACCTATGGCGAAGACTAGATGAGAGAGAGAGAGAGCGAAGATGCACGGGTTGTGGCTGGCCACGGGCGAGCTCGTGCTCGGCGGCGCACCGCGGCCATGGCAGCGACGGTGGCGCGACAATGTGGCCTTACCGGTGCTCGTCTAGTGGCGCTAGCTGCTCGGGAAGGTGGAGTGGCTCATGAAGGAGCTACGTGCAAGGTGGACTGGGTGATGGTGCGGCGATGGTGACGCGCTTAGCCAGCAACAACACGACAGCGGCGGCGCTGCGCTTTGCTTTGCTCTGGAGCCACGTGCGAGCAAGATGGAGAGGGCGAGAGAGTGAATGAGCGCGTGAGAGCATGGGCGACTGAGTGCTCACCTTTGTGGCACGGCAGGGTGGGCTAGCACCAGCATACGGTTGCCACACGGCGTGCGCCGCCTGGCCACGGTCGACCACCACGGTGCGGCAACGGGCCGATTCAGACCGACTAATGGGCCGACTTTGTGCCTAATTACCTCCTAATCTGTGGCGAGTTTTTGAAAACTGTATTAGTAAAAGTTGTAGAGCTACATGAGTACTACAAGATTACTTAAAGGAGTTTCACCTAATTCATAATGGTTTTCAAACTACAATGCTCCAAAGTAGGCTACTTTGAAACTGAAAACCAGCTTTAGACAGCAAAATTTCTAAGTCCCTAAACAGCATTTGATTGTTATTTTGGAGCTATTTTTGACTATGTCAGGCACTGAATCAGCTCATGACCCTTAAATAAAGTTTGTTCCCCATGTCATGGACTACAACTTTTATTAAGGGTGCACAGCCATGCAAACTGTTCAACTTTGGATAAACTAGCATCATGTAAAAGGCATTTCAAAGTAAACCAACACTTGGAAACAAAATTGGCCCATGTCATGAATACAAACATTGTTCCATTTACAATTCTAGTTGTGTCTAAGGTGTTTTTGTGACCTCACAACCATCTCTTGCATTGGTCACATATTGTCACAAGCATATGCATGTATATAATCAACATCACGTGTGATAATATGTAAGAATAAGATAAAATTCCATATGCTCATGCTCATGAATGCTTGGATGATGCTTGTGCTCATGAAATGCAAGTGACAAATGCAATGCTTAACACTAGGGTGTTATAGGCACGGAGAGAAATCATGGAGGCATAATCCCAACCAACGGCCATGTGGTCGCTCAGAGTGGCCAACTCATTCGAAAGCCACTCCATAAAGTTGACATTGGGTGCGTCGTGAGGCATCTCCGTCTCTTTGCCCACACTCTAGATCAGATCCTTGTTGGCTACTTTCTGAGCATCAGCCACAATTTTCCTTCGCTCGTCGTTCTTCCGATGGCGGTAAGCGTCAAAATCTCCGCACATCTTTTCCATCTGCTCTTCGGCAGTTTTGTGGGCACTTTCAGCCTCTTCAGCTTGCCTCTTCGAGGTCTCCAGCTCCTGCTCAAGGGCCTAGATTTTTTTGGACCTATTCACCAACTCCCTCTCAAGGTTTTGGCGAACAGCATGTCCCAGCTGTCGGAGTCCCTGAGCCAAAAGCATGGCCTACAATCAAAAAGCGAAACATTTATGTAAACATAGAGAAAAAGGAAATACCATCGACCAATGAACAGGAGCACGGACACCCACACTAATAGCAGGAAAGTTTACCGCCTCCATAAGAGACGAATCAGTCACCTTCAGGAGGTCCCTTTCAACCTTCAGGGCGACAAACTAGCCAGAGCAAGCATCGGCGAACTCCGCCACAACCTTGTTGGGTAGAAGACCTATGGTGTGGTGATCTACGTTTGTGATCACCCGAGAACTCGAAGCGGCTCCTAAAGAATGAGCAATGTGATAAGTTTCTTCTTCCACAGAGCTCATTTCGCCAGAAGAGCTTAACCCCAAATATACCCGCATCTCACCATAGTCCTCGGGCCGAGAGCGCAGCCACAACTCCCCATAACCGAACAGTTGCCCCCGAACCAAGCTGTCACTCGACCAAATGGACTCCGCATAGAATCGGGACTTACCATACTTATGAGAGCCGAAAATATGGTTGGACGCCGCAGGGGTGGAAACAGTGCGAGGAGGCATGTCCACTTCTGCGGAAGACACTTTTGGCCGCTTCAACCCAGCGTCCGCACGTGGGTCAGTGGACCTGTGGGAACTTTTCCTGTGTTCCTTCCAAAAAATGTCACCCACCGACACAGTGTCCCCTGAACCAAAGGCATCGGCGACATCAGCAACTTTTCCCTGGACGCCCATTTTGTCAAAACTGCTAGCGGCCTACAGCATCAAAAGTTAACGAAACACGCCAACATGCATGCTACGCGCAGAAAGTACAAAAAGTGATATGTGAAGTACTGCAACACAAACCAAAAATCAGATAATAACGAGAGATAACAGAACTACCATTTGGGTCCAAACTTGACCAAAGCGACGGGTCTACCCAATCACGATTTTCTTGCTGTTGCCCACAAAACCTGCAACCTCCCTTCCAATCCGAACATCAGCCGGCTTCGAAGAACCTTGACCATGGACACTGCGCTTCCGTTTACGTGACTCTAGCGCACTTGTATTCACCCTGCAGCCCCGTGTTGAGTTCTTCCCCTACCTCCTTGGTCGCGGGACCCTTTTCCTCTTGGGGCATTCTCTTCGACCGGAAGGCTGGTCGAGGGGCCATCACGGTAACCGTAACAAAGGCCCATGGCGTCAAATACTCGATTCAGGCATCTCTTTCTACCAAGACATTGGCATCTCGCCTTATGCTCCTTATCCCCATACAAACCAACGATCTATTCGGTCTTGTGCTCCACATAATTTACAAAGTTGAAATCAGTGGGAAAAGCATCTAGCACGGCAACGCCAAGGTTCAGGAATATATACCCATCTTTCCGCTCAAACTCAAAAAACTGTCTCAATGCTCAGAGGTGGGCTGCCGCATGCAATCCACTCTTCGACCAGATCCCAACTAATCTACCATTGGGATGTTAGAGTGAACCCATCTGACGCCACAACATTGACTTCACCCTCCGTTCAAAATTCAGCCAGACGGAGGCCTTCCATAGGGATCATCTGCGAAAACAAAATATGCACTTTCGGGAGATCATTCGTCACGGCATCAATGACATCCTCGTCTGAACACACACGGTCATAGAACCAATAGTTTGTCCACCGTGGCCACTTGTTGTGGTAGGCCAGAACTATGGTCACAGTGCCCCGAGTTTTCTTTGGCACAAAGTTGTAAGACCCGTAATGGACAACCATTTCTGATTTCATCTTCTTTTCTTTTATCACCTTCTTGTCTCATAATACTGAGTGAAGGTATCGACACTCAAAGCACACCTGGCCAATTTAAGGGCCATGGCAAAAAAACCCAGTCGGGCGAAGGTGTTTAGAGTCAACTGATGGATCTACAACCTGAAGCATTGCAAAACTTTGCTAACGAAATCCTCACATGGAAACCGCAGCCCGGCCTCAAAGAAATCGCGAAACACAACAGCTTTGTACGCCTTCGGGTTAGGCACCTCCTCTCTCCCGGGTGCACGGCACAAACCACGAAGGGAAGCCTTAAGCAGCCCGCGCTCCATGTATTTGTCAAGCGTCTCTTTTGTCACCTAGGACCGGCCCAACCAGTAAGTAGCAGGCATAAGATTTGGTTGACCTTTCACACCATACGGTCTAGGACTAGTGGTCTCAGCCACTTCGCCTTCCTCCAAAATATTCACATCCACCTCAGTCCCTTTGGCCACCTGATCGGGTGAAAGGCTACCAGCACCCGCAGCGACAACCGCCGCCAAGTCATCACTTCGCTCGCTTACCAAATCAACCACCACTTTCTCCATTCGACTAGGCAAACTTGTACAAGACTCAGAGCTAGAATCGCCAGATGAGCTCCCGCTGGACGTGCTATCGCTCGACATTGACTCACTTGACATCTATCCATGCATAGTACAAATGAAAGGTACAAGCGAACACAATAAAGAAGCAAAAGAAAGAAAAAAAGGAAAAAACAGTACAAGTAGAAGCCGAAATGAGACAAGTAAAAGTAGAAGCAAAACTCAACCGTGAAGTGTGCGAAGAGCGGAGTCTCTAAGTGCGTGGACGAAACCTAGGGCAATCCGAGCGAAGGCAGAAGAGCAAAGGAACGTCTTCAGCTTAAGGTTAGAGCAGGAAGGGGGCGCACGGCTCTCCCCACCAGGGAGCCCTATATATAAGCAGCCAACAGGCAGCACGTGTGTTGAGGAAACGTCGCGATGGTTCGCATAACCATCATGACAGTTCATCTCCCACAAAATAGTTACTACGACACGCAAACCAAAAAATGGAAATAGTTAGCAAAAAAAATATAAAAAATCACTCACTCCAGACCTCCCCTCTTCACCGGGGACGGCATCGGAGCCCCACGGTAAACCCACTTTTCTAGCAGCTCAGTCATCCGTGTGAAAGGCAGAGGCCATTCGAGCGATGCCGAGGGGCTAATGTTGGTGGCAGCCCTAGTCTGTGGGCACCCCTCGGGCTCAAACACCGTCCCCCGACATGCAGCAGGCATTTTGCTACGGTGAAATGGCAAGAGGCACACTGGCAGGAGGGACCCAAAGCGCGGCACCCATGCCTTCATCGGGCAGTTAGGCCGACCTTCGCTCGCAGGGAGTCACTATCATTTCCCCATGGTGATATGTCGGTCCACCTCAAGAACAAGGTCTGCCCCATTCGCCAGGTTGAAGGGGCGAGCAAGCGATGTGTCATTGCGCATTGGCGAATAGCGGTCCCAGGGACACCACAGTTGTGCCACCGCGATGCGCCAAGCCACGCACATGCTTTCAGCCTGGCGAATAGTCAGTTTGGCTTGGCCGGAGCTGTGTGGTGAGATGCTGGTGGAGGCAATAAAATAGCCCAGACCATTCGCTCTGGCAAATAGTTAACGCTAGTCTATGTGGCTGATTTTGCATGTTTCACCTGGAGAGGAGCCCGCCGAGAGACAAGACGCCGTGAAAGCCCTAGTTTGGTTTTGGATAATTGATGAAACCTAGGACTAACCTTTGATCTAAGAGTGTGAATTAGATAAGGTAGTCCAATCCAAGTGGTGGAGCTAGATGATGGTCATGGATGAAGGTGATGGCCACAAAGGAGATGATCAAGTGCTTCACATTTGGAAAAGAAGAAAGAGAAAAACAAAAACCAAGGAGATCAAGGCAAAGGTCTCAAATAGGTTTTTGTTTTGGCACTGAAGACACCATAGAGGTTGTGAGTGTGTTTAGGATCGATAGCTATACTATAAAGAGGGAAAATCTTTGGCTAAGCGGTTTATCGAGTGCCACTAGGTGACATGATTCTTACATATGCATTAGGGACCTAGTGTGCTAATAATTAACCCTTGTAAAATGCTTTGAAAAATGCTAACACACGTGCACACAAGTTACACACTTTGTGGTTAGCAACTTGGAAGCAAGGGTGAACTGGTTGAAGTGTTGGAAAAAGAAAAGGAGAAGGAGGTGAGAACCAGACCCAGGGGTTTAGGGGGTTCGGACCATCTCTGTATGGGTCTAGAACCTAACCCTAGGTTCACGGAGGACTGGCAGCTGTTCCAAACCCTACCTGGTAGACCATCTCAACCGGGTCTAGTTGTCTCGCACAGACAAGGCTGAGAACAGCGGCGTGCGACTTGTGTTTCAAACCCAATGGTGCAGCGAGTCCAGACTCAGGCTCACGCGGGTCCGGATGGGCAACGATTGGCGCAAAGAGTGATGTGGCACATGGAGGAGTTCTGGACCCGCACTGTGCGTGGTCCAGAAGCCTGGAGTGGACCAGGTCTAGAGCCATTTTGGCTCTCTAGATGCTTACTGGATCCTTCCAGACCCAGGGAACGCGAGGGTCTAGATGTGTTGTAGTGGGTATGGTCCGAAGGTTCTTTGCGCGTGTAGTTTTGACCATTGAGATTTGACGCGTGAGATTCAAAGGAGGGACATGTGGCACAATCCTATGAACCGGACCCGCACTGTAGACAGTCTAGACCTTGGGTCTGGTCTCTAGTTCTGGTTGCCCCGAGAGCATAACGGCTAGTGGAGGTCTTGAACCTCCATAAATAGACTTGGGGTTCCTTAGGCTCACTCCCTTAGACATTTTCATCAGTGATACATCCTTGTGAGCCTAAGCAAACACCTCCCACTCATCTCCATCATTGATTCATCATCATAGTGAGATTGGGAGTGATTCCAAGTGCATTTGCTTAAGTGATTGCATCTAGTGGCACTTGGATATCGTTGTGGCTACGGATTTCTTGTTACTCTTGGTGGTTGTGTAAGTGCAATCAAGCTCTAAGTGGATTTTGGTAATGTTGACCACATAATTAAAGGACTAATGGCTTTGACAAGTATTTGGTAGCATATCTTTAATCATGGATGCAAAGAAACAAAGGAGGAGACTCCCTAACTCGAATGGATGGCTTGCCACGGCTCCAAGAGCTAGTTTAATTCATTTTATATTTTGAAATTGAGACATAGGGCAAGCTGTACTATCAAGGGGGATACTAATGGTGTGTTGGGTGGAACCAAGTGCTCAAAACTCCATCTACATCTCAAATAATCCCAGCCACAAAAGGCCAGCCGAGCTAAATTCTTATCTGCTCTGGCCTACACGGAACCTCTGCGCTCAGGCGTGGAACCTCCGTGCTCAAACGCGGAGGCTCTGGGGTCTGTCTGACCAGACCGTTTTGTGGGTGACGTGGGTCATATTTATACCATACCCCTTTGCCCCCAACGGTTATCTTCTTTCTCATTCACTCAAACTCAAACTAAAGCTCTCTCTCTCACCGAAGCTTGGTGCTCCCAACTCCCTTGCTCAAATCTTTGTGATTCCTTGAGGGATTTGCTCAAATCTCCTCCATTCTTGTGCACTTGGTGAAGCCCTAGCCGCTTGGTGTGTTCGTTACTCTTGGAGCTTGGCTTCTAGACAGCTAGCGGTCGCCCGGTAGCTCCCAATCCGCTGTGGTTGAGCACCAGGAAGTTTGTATAACCCTTTGTGACTTAGTGGAACCCTCTAACCCATTGCCTTGGTGATAGGTTGGAGAAGAGGAGTGAGTTGAAAGAGACTCCATAGCCTTTGTGGCTAACCTCAATAACATGGATGTAGACAAGCCTTTGTGGCGAGTGGAACCATGGGATAAATCCTTGTGTTCACTATGATTGCTGTTGTTGTTGCTATTACTTGTGATTTGGATTAATTTTTAGGGTTTGCATCCGATCTACGAATTCCTCATCTTCTAGGTGCAACCGACTATTTAGATAGCTCAACATACTCCCCAGGAAGGCTGGTATTACATTCGATCTATTTTTCATTCGTTAAATTCTGCAGTAGATCAATTTCATACTCTAATCCCCGAAGGTTCCACACTCCGTCCTAGAACCTCTGCGTCCCAAAACCTCCGCGTTCAAACCTGGAGGTTCCGCGTTCTGACTGTTTTTCATAAGGTGATTAAATTTCAGAAAAAGGCCTATTCACCCCCTCTAGGCCATTTACTAGATCCTTTCAATTGGTATCAGAGCAGATTTCCTCGTGATAGCACTTAATCGTGTGAGGAAATGGCAAGTCCTAGAGAAAGGGTACCGGAGGAAGATGGAGATGACCGCTTTGAGGATGTTCCTTGTGAAGAGGAACCCGAAGCTCCTAAGGATGATGCCACAG